ATGTAAGCTTATGTTCCTTTCTTCAGAGCAGTGTTTAAGCATATGCTTTATGGTACACATTAGTTTAAATGTTGCTCTCAATTAGCATGTCTTCTTGAACTTAGGACTAAATAAGGCTGTCAAAATATTTATGGGAAATTTAGCCAAAGTTAAAGGCTAGGGACAGACATTCAAAAATCCTGAGCCTGAATTGATTCTGTCTTTGCAGCTTAGTCTAACCTGGCCAGGCTGAACCAGTTTGTAACCAAACAGACATTCTCTCTGGACAGAGAAAATTCAGACATATGCCTGAAGTAGCTTAGACTAGAAGCCAGGGAGTGCTAAAGCAGCCCTCCCTTCCTTTGTATAGTGCTGAGCTGAGGGGGGACATGGCCAGGCCCTGTCAGGACACTTTGATTAGGGAGGTCTGCCTGCATAGTCCCAGGCTTTTCCCCACTGGCTGCTCAAGGGGTGGGAGTGTTGCCAGTCCCAGCCCCCTGCTAGCACTCTTGAGGCAAGGGGGGGGTGTTATGCATCTGTTGATGATATGGAAGTTTTCAATCTCCTGGTTTAAGGACTCCCTCCCTCCTCCCCCTGCTCAGTGATTGGCCACCAGGGGACCCCCCCCCCTTCTGCTCAGCAATCAGGTGCCCCCCCAGATTTAGAAGGCACCAGTTGCCCATGGAGCAGGAGGAAGCCAGGCAGACCCTGCTGTGTCTGCAGTCTCTGCAAGAACTCCAGAGACAGAGCAGAGGGGTGGAGCCAACTCTGTTGTGGAGCAGAGAGCCCTGCCCAGCCCAGAGAGCATGCTGGGATGCTGGGGAAGCCTGGTTTATCTTAAACCACCAAGGGGTCTGGGACAGACATTGCATAAACTGATTTGAGCCAAATCAGGTAAGTTTGATACTACATTCGATCAGGTTTATCTCAAGCCAATTTCAGCCATTTTCAAACTGGTTTATGTGCACTGAACATCTGTTCTATTACACGTTTAAACCAGTTTCTGATCACTTAAGCCAGTTTATGTGTAATGTCTATCCCTAGCCAAAATGCTTTGAGGATTTATTATAGGAACTTCACCCACAGGTAGGAAAGATTCCTAAATTTGGGCTTGTGACATTTCTTTAACACTCACAGCTTTTCCAACAAATATACCTTAGAAACTTAACAGTGTTATTTCCCATTTTTTTTATTTGCTAGGGAAATCCTGAGAATCTCCAAGTCACTGACTGAAGTAGAGCTTATGAACTACAATCTGCAGTGACTTTGGGAAGGTTTTTTCTCTCCCATGTCTGAAATTGGTGGGCCAGAGCATTGTAGCAATAACTTTTTTAATATTCACATTCTTTGGTATATTTATTTAAAACCACACAAAAGTTACATTAGCTTGCACATAAAATTATCTTAGGAAAGAAAAAATGGTATCTAACTATAGCCATCTAGCTTTTTTTCTTGTGTATTCATACAAAGTGGGGACTTTAATTAAGGTGGGGATTATTTCCCACTCTTTAAATTTTTTTTCCTGATTCTGTCACATGCAAGTTTTCTATCTTCAGGTCTGAGTTTCTTCTCTAGAGAAAAGATTAAGCTTGGAAGAGTTAAAAAACAGTTTAGACTCAAGGCATCCCTTGGTAAATGCCAACTCTTAGCTTTCACTCATTTTTTTGACTGGAAAAATAATAAAGCAATTCTGCTGCTGCTACAAACTCAGAGACCATAACAGGACAGAATGTTTTTGACACTATAGATTCTTATTTCAATTTTCTGGAGTTATCTTATGATTCGTGCATAGGTGTTTGAACGCTTAACAGTGCTAGTATCATGTGGCAACCTTGATAAGAGTCACTGGTTTAAAAAGTCCATATAGAAGGCCAGGCCGCAGTCCTGCCTTGATACATGTAGATTCTATAGCACTCTAAATCAGATGACTCATAAAGTCTGCATAGGTCAAAAACCACAAAGGTGATGATAAAGCACTGGCTAAAATCCTTAGAATCACTGTATTTACTCGAATATAAGATGTCTGTGGATATAAGATGACCCCCCCCAATAATTAAATTAAAAAACAGAAATGTATAAATTTGTTATAATTTTCCAGGTATATAATCTAATTATTGGAGGTTTGCCTTGGATTTTTTCCCCTCCCACTGCTGCATCAGGGAAAATACATCTGGGAGGGGGTCAGGTGGCCACTTGCCCTTTGCCCTCCCAACTTCTTCCCCCTGCAGCCTCTCACCCCACTTCCATGTCAGACCCTGCTCTCCCTGAGCATGTGGAAATGAGGGGCAGATTTGAAAACACTGGGCACATCTACACACAAAATTAATTTGACTGAATCAACTCTGGCTCAATTTACACAGAAGTTTATTACTCCAGGGCACAGGGTTTACATGTACACCCAGAACCACAGCATGTTGAGCCAGGACAGAGCAGTCCCAGCTGGCAGGGGGCTGGGAAGGTCAGCCTGCCAGCCCCAGACTACTCCAACCCAGCTCAGTATCCTACAGAGCGGCTGGCTGGAGCACAAGAGTGCTTCAGTGTGGGGGCTGCCTGTCAATGAGCCTGCATGCAGCCAGCTCCTTTAGCGTCTACACGTGCATTGTGGTACATCAAATTACACCACTGTAAGACAGTACTTGTGTTGACAAGTACTAACCTATAGCTGCATTTATTAGTTTACTGTAGCCTAATAGGGTCTCATGTGTAGATGCACCCACTGACTTCAAAATAAACATACCTGCAGAATGGCATATAGGCAAATTACTGTGGGTACCTAGAGATTTAGTTAATTCATAATTGGTGCATTTTACCTTCTTTTTTTTTGCAAACTGCTGCAAGTTGCAGCACCAGTATTCCTTAAACACACTTTTGAGCAGCACTTTTATACTTAACTACTTATATATAGTACAAACTACACATGACATTATTCCAAAGCCAAAGCCTCATGACTTTTCATATAGTTCATTGGGCTGGGCCCCAGCAGTCAACAACATTTCAAGCTGTGGTGGCCCTACAGCGCACCCTGCTCCATACTCCCAGATACTCCCTCCCCCCCCCACACACAAAGGATCTATAAGCTAATTAGCCCCCCACACACACATTCATGACTGGAACTGGGTGTTCTCATCACGAGTCCTGGGGTCCTCCAAAAACATATATGCAGCTAAGATATGTGGCCTCCTGATCCATCTCCACCTCATGGCGAGCAGGCCCACACTAATCATATGAGACAGGCCTAGAGAGGAGACGACAAAGTCTCTCACCTACACGGAAGTTTGGTGATGTCTGCCAGACATTTAAGGTTGGTGATGATACAGGAATCATTGGAAATGAGAAAGAAAGACGCTGCTCAACTATGGGAATAAAAAAGAAGTCAAAAAATATTCAATGAGTGCATCATCATGAATTGAAAAAGTGTCAGCACTGATGGGAACTGAGTGCGATGGCTGCACTAACCTGCCCTTGTGGTGGGTTCCCATCAGCATCTCAGACTTTTTCGCTAAAATCAAATGTAACGGGTTTGTGTGTATCTATCTCCTTTCTCTCTCAGTGTCGCGAACCCCCTCCCTCCCCTTCCCCCACCCCCGGGCTTAGTTGGCTAACATTGTATTGCCTGTAACCTAGTTGCGTTCCCCTCCTTACCCCCATCCCTCTATTGTTAGTCCCTCGCTTGGGCACTCTATTTCCACATA